GAGGGTGCGGCCAACGGCCTTCAGTTTCTTTCCAACTCACCAAGTACCTTGACTGACTTAACTTAACTGATTTTAATATAACTGAATTCATCATTTAAACCCTGGTCATGCGTGCTGAACATAAGAATGACCGTGACGGACGCCCGTGCGCCGCCGACGGCTATATGTCGTCTCTCGGCCGAACGACCACTTTACTCGACAACTTCAGAACCTCATAACATGATCAATATATTGAAACAAAATAAGGCTTAATCACACGGACAATTGATTAATACTAAGGTAGCAAGTCTCGGCCCAAGGCTACCCGAGGCTACGCGGGATAGGCGCGGGGGCGCCGGCTGGAGGCCATTCATCGACTTTTCTGCATATTTACTCAACAATCTGATCCTATTGAGCATCAATTAGACTAAACTGAACATTTAGGTAATCAGGGTTCGAAGTTGTCGGGGAGAATCGAACTTTGTTCGGTGACAAAATTACTTAGGCATACATGAACTTAGGTACGGTTTTTAAACATGATTTCTGAAAATTCTCCGAACAGTTAACTTGGAATTGGACATACTAACTTGATTAGGAGTTGAGAAGGAATTTAACTTACTGAGTGTTCGACTGAAACCGGAAAAATAGGCGTGGTCTCCTTTACTTGCGATTGCCGTGGGTATTGCCTAGCTTCTTGCCGCGCGATTGCTATGAAACTTAGGGAAAATCTTGCTGAATAGAGTGCTGAGTATAAAGGGCTTAGGGAAGATATAGCTCTGAATTTCTATAGGAGAAGATGGGGGGAAAAATTTGTCCAAGTGCTACCTTATATAGAGAGAGCCGAAGGGTTGATGGTGATGATGTGTTGGTGGCGTGGCCACCCTCTCCACATTACACTTGCTAAAATCTTAAGTCATGCTTGATGACTAATCTTCTCTATTGTCTAACAAGTGGTATAATATAATTGGTTGAAAGAAAACTTCCCTAAGGCTTAAGAATGCTCACGGCTATTAGGAAGATTTTTGGGAAAAATATATCTTAAGTAGGTAATATGCTATGACTTAGAAGAAGTTATTGACCCAACTCACGGCTTTTAGGGCTAAATATGATTAATTTTCCTTAATCATTTAGCTTATGTTTAATTACTCAATTAAACATAGTACTTAATTACCAAAATTTATTCCGAACGTAATCGATACGTCGAAAATAAATTTCGGTAATCCCGACTGAACTTGATTAATTCCGACAATAATAAACAATAACATTACTATATCGGAATTAAACGTAATTTATACCGATTAAACTATCGGGATATTACAATCCTCCCTCCTTACAAAAATTTCCGTCCTCGGAAATTCAAAACATGACTAATATACATGAACTATGTACAT